GAAATCAACAATGAGTTCCAGAATTTGAAGAAGAGAAAATTGAGCGTCACTGAATACGCTACAAGCTTTACAGAGAAGATGAAGCTTATTCCATACCTAATTCCAACTGAACTTTCCAAGGTCAACAAGTTTGCTAATGGATTACCAGCGGACTTTGGTCCGATAGTCAAGCAAGCAACCACTCTGAAAGCCGCCATTTGGGCAACCAAGCATGTTGAGACCCAAATAAAAGAAAAGGGTTTGGAGAGAGCTGAAGTTGGAGAGAAAAGGAAAAATGAAGGGTCTTCAACGATCAATAAAGAAAGCAAATTCTCGAAGTCTGGTGGAAGAGATGAAGCTAAATGGTGTGAGAAGTGTAAAAAGAAACACTTCGGGAAATGTAGCGAGGAGATGACTTGCTACAAATGTGGGAAGACAGGGCATTACGCCAACAAGTGTGCACCTATCAAGAAGGTGTAGTGTGCTAAAAATGTAACGAAGAATGACATATTTCTAAAGACTGCCCGAAGAAAGACACACCGCCACAGCTGAGAGCATTCCATATGCTCCTCGACGAAGCAGAAAACGATGGGAGGATTAAAAGATGAAGACTTCATATTAATATATAAAGTCTGTATCAGGAAGCATAGCCTGTTAGAGGCATAGTATAGAGTGAACTTGAACTTTTGTGTAATATTTTCAAGAAATAATATAAACCCTGGTTTTGTTATCTGATGTGTTGAATGATTATATGATTTATGTATGGTGACTTGGTTGACTACGAGACAATACTTGGGACGAATATGAGTAAGTGTCAATGGTAGTAGAGATCTATACTACCGGAAGCATAGGACTCGCACAAGGATCACGGAAAGTCGCAAGGTTACCAAGAAGCTTGTAATTGAGTTCGTTTTTATTCAAGTATGTCGTTACCATTGTTTTGGTAATGACTAGTAAGATGGTTGTTATTCCGACCCTAGTGGTTATATCAAATTGAGTCTGACTACGATGAGAGGTCATTGGGACACGACCCATCAGTTTATTACAATAGATAAAGGAAAGTATCTATCCTAAGAAGAAGAAGGAGTCCACAAT